TGTTCCACTTGTTCCACTGGTGGACAGTTTTCACAGTGTGCTTCACATTGTTCCACTGGTGGACAGTTTTCACACTGTACTTCACATTGTTCCACTGGTGGACAGTTTTCACATGTACTCCACATTGTTCCACTGGTGGACAGTTTTCACACTGTTCTTCACATTGTTCCACTGGTGGACAGTTTTCACAGTGTACTTCACATTGTTCCACTGGTGGACAGTTTTCACAATGTACTCCACATTGTTCCACTGGTGGACAGTTTTCACACTGTTCTTCACATTGTTCCACTGGTGGACAGTTTTCACAGTGTTCTTCACATTGTTCCACTGGTGGACAGTTTTCACACTGTTCTTCACATTGTTCCACTGGTGGACAGTTTTCACAGTGTTCTTCACATTGTTCCACTGGTGGACAGTTTTCACACTGTTCTTCACATTGTTCCACTGGTGGACAGTTTTCACAGTGTACTTCACATCTGCACTGGAAGCTGCAAGACAGACGTTAATACTGCAACTGCGGGAAGTATACAAGATCTTGCTGATCTTGCAAGACAAGTGAATGTCAGGCAGCGTGTGGTGGTGCACTTAGCATGTGTGGTGGTGCACTAGCATGTGGTGGTGCACTGAGCATGTGTGGTGGTGCACTTAGCATGTTTGGTGGTGCACTGAGCATGTGTGGTGGTGCACTGAGCATGTGTGGTGGTGCACTTAGCATGTGGTGGTGCACTGAGCATGTGTGGTGGTGCACTGAGCATGTGTGGTGGTGCACTGAGCATGTGTGGTGGTGCACTGAGCATGTGTGGTGGTGCACTGAGCATGTGTGGTGGTGCACTTAGCATGTGTGGTGGTGCACTGAGCATGTGTGGTGGTGCACTGAGCATGTGTGGTGGTGCACTGAGCATGTGTGGTGGTGCACTGAGCATGTGTGGTGGTGCACTGAGCATGTGTGGTGGTGCACTGAGCATGTGTGGTGGTGCACTGAGCATGTGTGGTGGTGCACTGAGCATGTGTGGTGGTGCACTTATCATGTGTGGTGGTGCACTGAGCATGTGTGGTCGCGTGGTGGTGCACTGAGCATGTTGGTGGTGCACTGAGCATGTGGTGGTGCACTGAGCATGTGTGGTGGTGCACTGAGCATGTGTGGTGGTGCACTGAGCATGTGTGGTGGTGCACTGAGCATGTGGTGGTGCACTGAGCATGTGTGGTGGTGCACTGAGCATGTGTGGTGGTGCACTGAGCATGTGTGGTGGTGCACTTAGCATGTGTGGTGGTGCACTAGCATGTGTGGTGGTGCACTTAGCATGTGTGGTGGTGCACTTAGCATGTGTGGTGGTGCACTGAGCATGTGTGGTGGTGCACTGAGCATATGTGGTGGTGCACTGAGCATGTGTGGTGGTGCACTGAGCATGTGTGGTGGTGCACTGAGCATGTGTGGTGGTGCACTCAGTATGTGTGGTGGTGCAGGCATCATGTGTGGTGATGCACTGAGCATGTGTGGTGGTGCACTGAGCATGTGTGGTGGTGCACTCAGTATGTGTGGTGGTGCAGGCAGCATGTGTGGTGGTGCACTCAGCATGTGTGGTGGTGCAGGCAGCATGTGTGGTGGTGCAGGCAGCATGTGTGGTGGTGCAGGCAGCAGGTCTGGTGGTGCAGGCAGCAGGTCTGGTGGTGAGCTAGCAGGTTGGTGGTCGCAGGTCTGTAGGTGCTAGGTGCGCAGTCTGGTGGTGCAGGCCAGAGTTTGATGTTGCAGCTGCAAGTCTGGGTGTGCAGGCAGAGGTCTGGTGGTGCAGCAGTGGTGGTCATGATGTGTGCAGGCAGAAAGTCTGGTGGTGCAGGCAGCAGGTCTGGTGGTGCAGGCAGCAGGTCTGGTGGTGTAGTTAGCAGGTTTGATGGTTTTTCGCAGAAGGTCTGATAGTGCAGGCAGGTCTGGTGGTGCAGGCAGAGGCTGAGGTCGGTCTGGTGGTGCAGGCCAGCAGAGTCTGGTGGTGCAGGTTAGCAGGTTTGTGGTTTTCGCAGAAGGTCTGATAGTGCAGGCAGGAGGTCTGGTGGTGCAGGCAGTAGGTCTGACGGTGCATTCAGCAAGTCTGGTGGTGCAGGCAGGAGGTCTGGTGTGCAGGCAGTAGGTCTGGGGTGCAGGCAGCA